CCAAAGAAGCCCCTGCCAGGGCTGTGGGCACCACAGCCATCCCCTGAATACCAGCACTCTCAATACTCTTCTTTTTTATCTGGTCATACCCTGCAAACCTGGCTTAATTGCTCCCCTACTTACCATCACCTTCCAGATCTCTTTCTGTACCAATACTGCTTGGCTGCACTCACTCAGATCCTATTGTTTTCTCCTTGTTTGTATAATAGTGAAGGTTAGAAGCCCCAGCTGAAGTCAGAGCCCTGCTGTGCCAGGTGCTGTACATGCACAGAGTAAAAGACAATCAGTCCCTGCCTTGGAGAGTTTTTAGCTTTAATGGACAATGCCTCTACTCATGCTTTTGCAATGCCTCCATCAGTGATACAACAATAGACGATTTACTCCATGCACTGGATCATTTATAAAGATATTAAACAGCAGCTGACCCAGCACCGACCTCTGAGGGAATTCACTTAATACTGCTAGCAAAGCTGATTTGGCTGATTAATGGGGGGTTTGTTGTCTGCTATTTGCAGGCCAATTTGTCCATCATGCATTGCAGGGCTTGTTCCTTTCCAGATCGTAGCACTTGGAATTCTCAAAGACAGTCGCATGTGGGGCCATCTTAATTCAAACAGAAATAAACATTGTCTGGGACATTTCCTATGTCCACCGTATTTGTGGCTGTATAGCAGGGAACTCTCAGGGCTTGTTCAAGGCAATCTACACTGTCTATCACCCACCTGCATGGTTTACTTAGTAATGCCCTGGTTATTAACATAATTTCTCCATATAACCTGTTTCTCTTCTTCTCTCTTTTTTACCCTTTAAAAAAGAATTTTGTACTCATGAAAACTACCAAGTTGAGAAAACAAAGGTCTTCTTTTCTGCTCAGAAAAGGTGCAGCACCATGAAAACTCCTTCCCCAAGTCCTTTTTTATATGTCTCTACTCCAAGCTGGGAAGATGACCCGCAAAGATAAGACAGGATTTCCAGGTGCCACTTCCAGCCTCTTAAGCCCTCTCCTCTACATCCCCCTTCCCTGTTTGAAGGCTGGTCCTCACTCACCTCTGAGAAGGCAGTTCTGATACTACCTGGCAGAAGCAGAGAAGGTATTTGCTGTTGCCAGCGTGTATCACCCTACTTCATTCTCCTACTTAAAGTTTATAGGCCAGACCCTCAGATGGTATGAATTGGCAGAGGTACATTAAGTCAAGAAAGGTAAACTTGAACCCCAAAAAGCTTCCTCTGTAGGATCATCTGATCCAATACAAAAAGTTTTTGGGGTGAAGTGATCTAATATAAATCACTTCAGTGCCCAGAAACTTGTGCCAGGCCTGGAATTACTGGGTGGGACAGCTAGACTCCTCAAACCTATAGAGCGGCCTCTCTCCTTCTCTGCCTCTATAATTTTCCACTGTGTGCCGCCCCTGCTTCTGTCCAGGAGGCTCCTTAGCTGGGCATGCTGATCTACAGCACCAGCCTGTTTACAGCTCCTGGGTGCTGAGGGGTGGGCTTGTGACTTGGACCACCCCAATTTATGGCTTTAGATTAAAGGAATTTTATAGGTATCCAGTTGGGTTTATTTCCTGACGGTGATTCGACAGGTTATTCTTGGTGGCTGAAGAAAAGATACCGGGGTGTGTCTGAGAGTGCTGGGATTAAGGGGAACTAAAGAGATGGGGAGGAGGGGAGGAGAAAGACCTGCCTCGAGAAAGAGCATTGTGGGTAATACATGAACAAGAGAGGAAATGGAGAGAAGGGAAAGTCCTTGAGGGGCGAGGGGGACAAGAGGCTCGTGGGGCACATGCTGCAGAACGAAGGCAGCATGCACGGTATGAGGGCAGCGGCCCAGTTAGCCCCAGAGATGGACCTAATGGGACTCTCTTCTAGGAGGCTGGAAGCCAAACATGGTCCTAATTTAGACCCGCTGCCAGCTCCCTCACCCCATGTTTGTATAGGTGACAGGCCTGATGTGTGGTGGGGAGGGAACTAGATCCTCGGCTAGCATATGTCAGTGTAGTGCCACTTCCTTCAAAGGCACCCCCTTGGCACCAGCAGAGGATATGGCCCTAGGCTGCTTTGTTCCAAGGGGATGACCTGACGCAGACTAGGAAGCAGACTCCGGTTAGATGCAACAGCCCAAAAAACCTTCTCAGAATGTGAGTCAGACTCCCATTAACTCGCTTTAACACCCTCATTTGTCTGTGCCCTGAAATAACAAGGGCCAGACCCTCAGCTGGGGTAAATCTGCATGAATCAGCTAAGGACCTGGATGCTGCAGGGGCAGCAGGGCAATCAGTCCAGTCACATCTCATCTCTGGTCCTCCTCCTCCAGCAGGGATAACACTTTGAGAGTTTGCTTTGAGAGACTGAAGCAATTGCAGCCTGCCTACCTCTGTCTGCCTGCCTGCCTATCTATCTACCCACCTCAGGTCGTTCTCAGCACACAAGCATCTGGGGACATATTTTTATTTAACCTCTGAGCAGTTTGATGGTCCTGAGCATTCAAGATTAAGGATGCGGGAAACCAAGCCAGGTGGGTGGCTGGGTGGGATGGAGAAGGAAAGCAAGGAACAAAGAGACCCGGAGAGGGAGGGAGACAGAGGGAGACAGCGCGAGCCAGGAGCGGAGGCTTTAATGATTATGGGAGAATCCTCTGGTGTTTTACGCATGCTGCACCTGGGCCGGGTTGCCGTGGCAACAAGAAGCAGCGACCTTCAGCACTCGGGAACCTCAGCTACTGCTAGCTCGGTCCCCCACCATCGCCACCCGGGGACAGAAATAGACGCCACCTCCGAGGTCCCCTTTAAGTCATGGCAGATCCAGCGGGTATTTTTAGCTGGCACGATCTCTCAGAGGACCTGTGTATGCTCCCTCCGTGGAAGGGCCTAGCACATGACAGCCTCCTGGGAACAAAGGCTCGTTGTCTTACGGTGGCGAGCCCCTGTCACCTGCTGTTGCTCCCAGCCTGTCTCTGCTGCCTGTTGGTTCCATGGACAGTGCTTCACGTGGCCACTCCGGGGGGCTGGCTTCATTCCTCAGCCCTGCCTGGCACTGCCCAGCTCATCTGGAGCTGCCGTCCCTTCAGGGAAGCAGCAAAATGCCCTCTTCCTGGAACTGCTGTGATGGGCCACCGGACAGTCAATCAGGCTGGGCAGAAGCTGGTCTGGAGTACTCTCCCTGCCTGGCCGCAGTGGAGGACGGCATTGGGGCCCTTGAAGGAACCCCAGGCAGCCTATTTCACCAAGGGGTGGGTACCATGCCGATGGACCTAGAACAGGGGTGGGCAAAATGGCTGATCCAGCTGGCAGCTGGACTCCATTTCCCAGCACCCTGCCCGCTTTGCTGTGGCTGGTTTCCATGGAAACCCCAGCAGCCATGACAGGATGGGGCCAGGGTTTCCATGGAGATTGGCCCCAGTAGCGCTGGCGGAGCATGTGGCTGGGCAGGATGCTGCTTCAGGGCAGAGGCTGGGATCTTGTGGTGGTGACAGCTGCCCGCTTTGCTGTGGCTGGTTTCCATGGAAACCCCAGCAGCCATGACAGGATGGGGCCAGGGTTTCCATGGAGATTGGCCCCAGTAGCGCTGGCGGAGCATGTGGCTGGGCAGGATGCTGCTTCAGGGCAGAGGCTGGGATCTTGTGGTGGTGACAGCGTGGTCCAGAGCAGGGGCAGAGCTGCAATCTGCTGCCTGCACGTCTCTGTCTGGGGCATGCAGGCAGTGGATTGCAGTTCTGCCCCTGCTCTGGATCATGCTGTCACCACTGCAAGACCCTAGACCCAGAGTAGCCATGCACCCTGCCAGCACTGCTGGGGCCGGTCTCCATGGAAACCCTGACCCTGCATTGTCTCAGCCCTGCAGCTGGTGGGGTGACATGGCCAGAGGCTGCTGGGAAACGGAGTCTGCTGCAGGCCCAATCCGGCTCACAGGCTGGACTTTACCCACCCCAGCCTACAAGGTAGGGAGTAGTGTGAAGGAAGTGTTGCTTCCTTGACCCCAGAAATGGAGCATGGTGCGTCTGTACATTCCACTCTTGCTCAGCTCACGCAGAGTTCAGGGACACCCCATACACTCCACCCTACCAAGCTATTCTCTTCCCTTCCCTTCCAACTCTGAGCCCAGCCATTCCCATCCCTCCTTTCACTGGGCTGCTATTGTTTCAGTTTGGAAAGCCTTCCCATGAGCTCATCCTGTCTTTCTCTGCTGGAAGTACAGTAGGTGTGTATCACCATGTGTTGCTTAGCACGAGCCCCCAGAGACGTGGTGCAGAGCTAGTTAGGTACATCAAACTGTCAGCAATGAACACACCCAAACAACAAAGCTGAGCTTTCCTCCCAGGAATTAGCAAGTGATAATGACCCTCTTTTTGGATTGGATAGAAACTTGGAAAGACTGCACATAATTGTACAAAGTCATGTCTATAAAAGTCCTTAGTCACCACACAGAACTCCCCTCTCAGCCTTGCTGATAAGCCCTGCAAGAAAAACCCTATGCCATGTCCAGGAATGGCCTTTAGCCCCTGAGTGGGGCTGGGCTTCATCAATGGATCAGTGTGGGGGACACCCATACCATGAAGGCAGAATGCCACCTACCATTTCCAGATACAGAGATATCAGGCTTGCATACCAGTCACCAAGCAATGTCATGGACACCAGATATCTCATTTTCCTCTTGCCTTTACTGGTTTTACATTATTTTTAATCCACTCCCTTCAGTGAGGTTACATCCATGTTAAACAGGAGTCAGTGAGAAGAGAATCAGATCCCAAGGCTACAAAAACAGAAACTAAATTTGAACACAAGGACCCAAGAGAGCATATCCCCAGCAAGCCTGAGGTAGGGGCAGTAGCGTAGAAGACACCAAAATACAAACATACACAGGCTAGGTATCCACTGGTGTGGTCATTATGGCTGAGGCGGGCTGCTTGAAGAGCCTATAATGTGACCCCTTGGATCTGCATTTGCCCTCTAGCAACAATCTTTGCCACCACTAAAACCATGAGAAGGATGGAACCTTACCCTGGTGGAATGGACGCCCTGGTACTGAGAATTGCGACCCGCTGGGTGCCAGGCCTGTTCAGGTTGTTTTGCCCAGGAAGATGGGTGCCAGTGGGTGCACTCTGGCTCCGGGAGAAGGTGGTCACTTGTGTGCCACTAGGGGACCGGACCTGCTCCATCTTAGCTGTCCCTCCAGTTGGCATGGTGCCTGCAGACCACAATGCCGTCCCATTGAATGTGTTGCTCTGCCTGACGGCCAGAGTTCCATTGCTATTGCCTGAATACACTTTCCTTCGCTGCGAGGCCAAGATGGCGTTGGAAGCTGCCCTGGTGCTGTTAACTAGCAGGCACTGCTGGCAGGAACAGGGCTGCCCCGAATTGGTGCCCACAGGCCAGGACTGGGACTTTGGGATGGAGCCCATGGTGAGTGGGTAGGCCAGGTCCATGCGGCGCCGGAGCCGGCGCTTCCTCTGAGTCTGCCGGTTCATCTGCGACATGCTGTTGAAATAGATCAGGTAGCAGAAGCCCAGTGAGGAGAGGTCCAGCCAGGGGTGTTGCTTCTCATAGGCATTCTGGATTGTGATGCAAATATCCATGTCATAGGGTGTCCAGGAATTATTGTCATTCTCCCATTCCCACACAATCCCTTTGCCAGGAGCCGAGGATGGGTCATAGAAGTTCCTCCTCACCGGCCTCATGGTCCCTATGGGAAAGAAGAACAAAAGGTGGGGGGTGAGTTGCAAAATACAGGACATGTCACCACTAGGCCTCACCAGGCCTTCTCTCTGGGAGAAGTGATTTCAAGCCCAACTTTCCTAGCTCCTTGTTAGAGAGCCTTCCTTCAACTATCAGTGGGAAATTACACTCCAGGTTTTTTAAACACAACAGGGCCAAATCTTAAGCACCTGGAAATCAGCATAGATTTCAGTGGAACAAAATCATTTTGGATCTACTGAGGTTCTGGCCCAACATAAGTAGAGGAAAAAGATTTCACATAAATTAGTATTAAACTGCAACATTCAGCCTGATTGTCCCCTCAACCTGAGGTAAGCCAGCAACAACTCCACTGAAGTCAATGGGGTTACAGTGGTGTAAGGGAGAAAAGTATCAGGGCCCACTGTATCCACATTATTTAAGACAGGCCAGATTCACCACTGCCTTATTCCAGTTTTATGCCCTGGTGGTTCCAGTGAGAACAGTGGAGTCGGTCTGTAGCAGTTCATTTAAGGCCAGACCAAGGGCTCAGGTGTGCAGTTCTGAAGAGGGAATGGTTGGACAAGCTTTGTCCACATCAGCCTGCTTCACTCCTGCATGGGAGGGACTACCCATGGGATGATGAAGGCGTCCAGCCTCCACGCTCCAATCAGCACTTGGCTTCCCTGGGAAGACTGCCAAGCAGCAGGCCAGGTAGCGTGTCAGGAAGTGACAATGACTTTAGTGATGCAAACCCCTGTCCCCTAGGAAATGGGCTGAACAGCTTGCTCTACATACTGAGCACCATCAACAGGACTCATCAAAAGCTGGTGACCCAGTTGTGAAAGGCTCTGTATCCCATTACCAAACCCCAGAACCAGCACAGTCCCCTATGTGTCCTATCAGCCTTTTGTTTAAAAGATCACAGCCCTATTAATATCAAATCATGCTGCATTAACATTTCCAGTGTTCTCCGCAGTCAGGCCTGCTCTTGTATACCCATCATCTCCTTCTGCCATTCTAACATCCTCACACCCACCCCACAAGGCACACTCCCACCCCATTGTCCCTTTCTCACACATACACACCTGCATGCACACTTCTAACCAACCAGTCATCTTAGAGGCCTCTCCTTAGACTTGAAGAATTCTGGGCTCCAAACTTTGGAGAAAATGTCTAGCAGGGGCCTCCATAGGGGAGAACAACCATGCATGTGTGACTCCTTAGCTTCAGTCTCCACTGAAATGGAGAACACGTGTCATTCTCTGCTAATGTAGAGTCCTTTGTGATGTAACAGTGTTGCATGCAAGCACAAAGAGGAAACAATTAGATAGCTGCATACACCACCAACTCTGCGGTTTCTGCTGGGATTTATATGTTCCACAGGAAACAATGGAAACACCTTTAATCACACAAGGGGTGTCAGCCTGGCCCAGCCTAGCCAAATATTCTGCCCTCTTCAGGCTGGAGTTTGGCATCAACAGCAAGGCATTCTGGGAACATAATGAAGTGAAAAAGACAAGAGATGGTCCTTAGGGAAGAAAGGTGACATCTGAGATAGTGGGAATATAAATTAACACCAGGCTCTGCTGGCTGACCTTTTCTGACAGCAAGGAAATGCTATTCCAGTTCCCCAGGATTTCGATTCTGCAGGCATCTTTTCCAGTAGTGATTAAGTTTTCATCCCAAGAGCCCCTGTAAGCCAGACCTTCTGGATAAGTACGGTAATTAGGGGACTGTCACCCTGGCACTGAGTGCATGTACTCCTGTCTCAAACATCGCCATGCTGCCAAGAAAGCCAGAGCTCTCTCTGTCAGGGGGCAAGGAGCTGAGCAGAGATGGCAACAAACTGGCAGCAAACTATTCCCCTTCAGCAAGATGGTATTTCAAGGAAACACAGGTAGGCCCTGACTCAGTGCCACTGCCCATCAAAATCAAAGGGAATTTCTCCACTGGCTTCACCTGAGGCCCCAGTGACCAGGCCATGCTAACCAATGGCAGCTGTTCTGTGTCATTTCTTCTCAGAAAAGGAATGGGCTTGAGAACCAAAGGGTGTCCTGATTGTCCTGCCATAAGACTAAAGTAACTGCCACAGACTTCCCAGACTTACTGCACCCCAGGAAGGGGGAGGAGGGCCAGCAAAAAACCTGAGTGAACTGTCAGTAGCAGCAGAATCTGGTCACTGGAATAAGACTAAAACCACATCCTCAGCAGGATTTAAACTACCTCTGAAACTGCATCTGGTAAAGCTTGGGACAACTACTGGTATCATTTGCAGGAAAACTTCTAGTGTAGAAACAAGTTATTCCAGTATACCATGACTTGCATTGGTGCAGATTACTCTGGTTTCAACCCTACCCATGCATCACTGCTGCTCCAGAACAGACATGGCTTTCAGCGGAAGGGAATTACAGCCGCCAGAACAATGGTTCTCTGGCCTTTTTACCAGCCACATTTTCTGCTTTCATTTTCTCTTCCCCCTCCTCCAAAGGGGGAACAAAGAGGGGAAGAGAGAAATCAAGAGAGCTGACAGCGGGATAGTAGAAAATAAGCGTGAGAAAAAGAGATAAATGGCTGCTCTGTCATGAAATGAAAACATGTGCGGGAAGAGCGATGGATGATGAGGTGCGGAGGTAAAGACTGGCAATGGGAAGCTGTTGCCCTGCTCTGTACAGTGCAATGTATCTGTATAGGGCATTGCCTGCACAACAGGATCACAGAGGTTCTGAACCTGGCTGCAGTTCTACAGGCAGGAAGAGGTAAACTCTGCAGATTATCACTCAGCTGGTGGCAGGAGATACAACTGAGGAATAGTTACAAAAAGCAGGTCTCATCATGGAGGAGTGGGGCTGTACATGCTCCGTGAATCAGAGAATCATAGAAAGGCCAGGTCAGAATCATAGAAAGGTAGCTTGCTGGAAGGGACTTCCGGAGGTCACATCTAGTCCAATCCCTTGCTCAAGGCAGGATCTTCCCCATCGAAACCACCTTATACAAGTCCTTGTTTAACTTATTCCTAAAAAAGACACAGTCAACCCTGTCGCACATCTATAAAGCATGTTGCCCAAAGACACCAAGGGTGCCCTAACCTGCCACAGGTAAAGCATGGGGATGAGGGCTGGCAGTGTCCTGCTGCTGCAAGGGTTGCTAAAATTTACTCGAGAACCAACAAAGAGAGCCATGCCCCTCACTGTAGAGGGGGCAGTGTGGATCATTAGTTGCAGGGGGACACACAGGAGTCTTTAGATGATATTGAAGAGAGTTTGGGAAGAGACAGTCCATCTTCAGCCAGGTCTTCTCAGCACAGAACCAAGCTTGAATTAAAACCCTAGGTTCAAATGGACCCTAGTTCGTGGGATAGACCAGTCCCAGACCCTGCTGTAATTACCAAGCACTGAGCAGAGTCTGACTGATCAGAACACTTTGCCTCTTGGATATTCCTATACCTCTTGACCCATATACTGAGCTCTGACCTGGGAATCTGCTTTACTCTTTGGCTTTACAGGGTTATAAAAAGAAGCAGGCAGTGTTCATTCTGATACAGGTATTGCATTGCTCTGGCCAGCCTGGAATGGGCCTGTTCAAAGGGGATGAGAGTGGTTAAGAAACAGAATTGCTAGAGATTCTTAGCCAGGGTAAAACAACAGTGGCCAGCCCAGCAGCTCTCCTGGCTTAACACAGCTGCAGCAGATACAGTCATCATGAAGGGTAAGCACAACAAAAGGGAGGAGATGAGGTCAAGGAGGCAGCCTCATTGCCTGGAAGGTGAAGGTTTGGCAGTCACTGGTCCCACCAGCTAGCAGCTGGTTTGAAGGCTGAGTAAGGACCTAGAGACAAATCAGCCAAACTCTTAGAAGAAAGGGAAGTTGGGGGAGACTGGGATGGGTTGGGCAAAGATGTCTTATTCTGAAAGCAGAAGTGATGTGAAGAGGCTGGGAGCTAAGGGAAGGGGAGACTGGAATTGGAAAAGGAGTCTGACAGACAGCGAGACCAGGATGAGGTAGAGACAAGGTAGAATGTGGAGTGAAGAAAGAAGCTGAGACTGGAAGCCAGGGTAGAGGGAAATGTAAGGATTGGTCAGGAACCCTGGAGGGGGCAACTGGAGCTTGCTGGGCACAGAGAATGGGACTTGGACTGTGATGAGGTGGGACACACAGAGATATGGGGGAAGCTGAGTGGAGGAGCCAGGCTGAATGTGGAGAGACAGAAGTGGAACAGGAACAAGCTGGTGGCAAAAGGCAGCAACAGTTGTAGGCAACCATCAATCCTCTGAATCATGGTGTATACATAAGAGGTCTAGTCAGATGCCTGATGAATCTGCTTGTACAGAGTCCAGCAACCATCATATCAAGACCTTCAGTGTATATGCCTAGACAAGGGTATGGAAGAGTGGAGGCTGCCCTAGATCTACCATCCTGCCTTTTGACCAGCGAGACAGAACCCAGTCCAGATGTTCAGAACCCAGGCCAGACCGAGTCCAAATGTTCAGTGGCCTTGATGGTTGTAGCTTCTGGCAGAAAACAACAAAGAGCTGCTGCTGACTACCTAATACCTCAGCAAGGGTTCTGTCAGGGTGATGTCCTTTAGCCTTTCTCCAAACAAGGAGTAGCCACAAGGCAGTGGGGGCTAGTTGAGGCACCCTGTACTTGCCTTACTCAGGAGGTTGCAACATTGTGGTGTTTTATAGCAAGGTGACCAGGTGTTGATTCACTCTCTGCCTTGGATTCCTCACTTCAGCCCAGATCCTGAGCCATACCCCTGGATGCCAAGGAGCCAAGCACAGCTCTTTTATCTCTGAAGCTGGCTTGAAGAAACATGGTGGCTATTCTTATTTCCATTAGCATGCAAAGGCTCCCAAGGAGCCATCTGACACCTGTGAATAGATGAAGCACAGAAGACTCCAGCCACCTCCTTTCCCCTCTCTGGGTACATGAGAGATGCAGAACAGGACAGCAGAGAGGAGGGTATGGGACCTTCTACTGGGATGCTGCTGCCCATTTCTGTACTCTT